TTCTCTAAAAAATTCTTTTTCTGTTTCTCTGATTCTGCTGCATTTCTTCTGTATTCTCCTTTCTCTTTCTGGTTTTCTCAGCCTCCTTTGGACTGAATTCTTTTGGGATCCTTCCTTGTGGGGAGCCCTGCTTATATCAGTTCTTTAGGTTTGAAGAAAACTCCAGAGCTCTTGTTAGAATCTTGTTTCTCATGTTTATTAGAAGGTCATCACAAAACTTGGCAGGTCTCTCCAGACTAACTGCACAAGGTTATATCTTCGCAATAGGGTACATTTGGTACAACAAGGTCTTGTGGCTCACCCTGTGCTTGATGCACAAAATGGCCCTAAAATATGCAGTTCTTTTATCTTTATACCTATTTTTACTCAATTAACAATAGACACATATATTATTTTTCTTAATGACCCAATGACCCATCACCTCTGTGCTGCACTGCGGCGTTCTCTGTCCAGTCACTTACTACTACCCAAAAACCTCTAGGAGAAGAACATGAAGAAGAGAGAAGAAAGACAAGAGACAACACCCTAAATCCTCCATCTTGTCGCTTGTTCTCTAAACTTTTTCACCCAGTCATTTAAGAAAACTTTCTAATCTACACACTTAAACTTTTAGCTTTTTCTGTCTAACTTGAACATTTTTTTTCATGTATCACCATGAAAACATGCTCATGAATTTCATGTTATATGAAATCCAGTGTTTTTCTGGATCTTAGAACTAAGTATCAGAAACAAGGGCACACACTCTGTATTTCAGACTCCAACAAAAGCAATGAAATGTTCTCTGAAATTCCATGTAGTTTTGGTGTTGTTTACAGTGATTTGACAGGACTATAACCCTCAGTGAAACCTGCATTTGTACATACTTGGATGCATTCCCACCAAGTTTTCTCATGTTTTTCTCTTGATCAATGGGATAGTTCCCTTGGGGATGGTCACACCCGTTTGTTACTGTGGTTGCAGAATAATGCCTCTAAATTTATTGTGGCTATTTAGCACCTCAGTTCTTAGTACATTTATGTTTGGATATCTGAACCAGGTTGTAGCTGTTTTCTCATGCTGTGCTCAAGAGACAGCTGGGCTTTTTGCTGGGCTTCACAAAGTGTTTTCAAGTGTGATGTGACTCAGCTGTACTGCAGCTGATCACTGGAGCTATGCTGTATATGATATGTTTTCTTCCCAAACTGAGACTGAAACCAATAGGGACTCAATTTCTATGGAAATAACTGTCATAAAGTCAATTTTGTAGCTCATTGTAGTCTGTGAATTAGGTAGAATAGATGGTGGAAAGCGGGTTTTTTCCTTCTTGTTATCCCTTTGCTGTCTGCCTAACTGCTGCTGTTGATTAAGTTTAATCCCAAATCACATTGGAATTAAAAGACTTTACATTTTTATAACTCTCCTGAAAAACTGGTTTTTTTTGCCCCAGTTCTATGGTGAACATAAGTTGTTATTCACAGTGGGGCTCATGCCTGAAGCAAGGGAAACAATCACATGTGAGTTGCAAATCTGACTGCAATGTTGGTGGCTACTGAAGGCTGTTCTGGATGTATGCTGAGACAAAACACCACATTTATCTTCAAAAGGTTTTAGAATAATCTGTAAAGACTATAGAAGATAGAGGTAAAAGGTTAATTTATGAGATTTTATATTTTTTAATCTAAGTAACAATAAAGGTGAAACAGCCATTAAGGGAAAAAAAAAAAAATCTTTAATATGCTATCGGTTAGACAAAATACATTCTTTAGGGATAAAGGCCACAGCTGTACTGGACAATAAAGTTTTGAGTCCTCCAAAACACCTGAGGCAGTAAGTTTTACTCCTTGATTTGAGCATTCAAAGTAATTTTCAAGCATTTTCTTTTTGGAATTTGCAATTAAACAAAGCACCACAAGTGGTCACCATGGTGTCACTGGTAGGGAATGGGATAAGAAAACAGTCACAAAAAATAACTTTGACCTGTGCAGTCAAAGCTTTGAAAATTGTTTTAATGCTCATCTGTCAGAAAACCAGTGTAGTGTTTCAAGATGTATCAGGCTTTACTGACTGCCTAAATCTAAGTAACTGACTACTTTTTTCCTACTATCTGTCTTTCAGTAGTGAAGACTAAGTAATTTTCTCACTTTTTTGTCTCACATTTCACTTCTCTTTTTTATTTGTACTATTTTTCCTTGCATCAGTTTTCAGCTGATGTCTGTTGTCTTCCTATTTCAGCACCTTTTGATGACTTATTACAAGCATAGTAATAAAATCTAAGTATTCAAACCATGACACTGTTGTATCAGAGCTGGTTTGAGATACAAACTATGTGTGAACTTATTCCCATGTGAAGAAATAGACAGGAACATGATCTTTATTGGTCATGGTCTAATGCTTTGCACTATGGTTGTTGAAATACCACAGTCAGTAATCTCAGTAATTGGAGCAACTGCAATGACTGAGAAAATGTCCTTCCATGTAGTTTCTCTTTCTCTGTCCCCTCAAAACACACACTGTGATACACACACATGGGTACATCAGAGAGAGGGCTGCACTTGAATATTCCTGGCAGTGTTGCTATTAAAAAGGGCAACAGCTCTTTCTGCCTTTTCACTGATTAGGATGAACCCAGGAAATAAAAGTTTTTCATGCTCTTATCTGTGTCACCTGCAAATGTACTTTTGTGCTGTTTATTTTAATAAGAGGCAATAACAGCATACAGAATGGTAAGAAAAGATGCTCATTAATGCTCTCACTTTAAAAAAGTCACCTCGGAGTACTTTGGCTGATCCTAAAAATATTTTTAAATAAATTATTTGGTCCCTTCTTGGTCTTTAGAGAGGCAAAGGTACCTATTTTGTTTACCCTGTAAAGAAAAAGAATAAGGAAAGATCTATTTGCAGTCTTTTTACTAGTTAGTGTGTTAGAGGAGGGGGAGTTGACTCCTCTCAGATACACAGAGAAAGGGCAGAAAGCAGGACTGGGTCACGTATGGAAAAAGTTAATAATTATTCAATTTCATTGGAAAGCCTCTGAAAGAAGGTAATTTTTATCTTGTAGAATGGCAAGAATGTCTCAAGGAAGTTTCAGGACTTGAAAAAACTTGAAAAATTTCTTTACAATGTTACCTTATAATAGTAATCATTCCTAGGCGTAATGCTGTGAGGGTAGTAGAAGGCTGCTGTGGGAATAGATGTCCAGGTAACTTCTTTGTTATGAATCAAGGTTAAAGCATGCTGCCTGGCTTGTAAAGATCTTCCATTTTCTCTTTTGCTATACTTGAGAAAAAAGAAGAGGGTTTTAGTTTCAAACTTTCTTTTCCAGTACCTGGACATCTAGAAATTTCAATTTCTCCCATTTTATTAGTTAGCTCACTAAAAGTAAATAAAAAATATTACCATGTTAATGTAGAATCAGAGCTTGGATATGTTAAAAATGGATCTCACTGCATATACCTAGTTAAATGAGCAGCTCTGGGAAAAGGAAAGGGTTTTGTTATTCCAACCTTTCTAGCTTTCACAGTTAATTTTTTGCCTTAATGAATATTTGGCTTTATTCTGGTTGGGTTTTTTTCCCTGCTTTTCAATCTCTTTTTTTTTTTTTTAAACCATGTATTTGTGAATCCATCCAATGTTAAATTTGATTAGATACACAGTTTAATGATGATTTTGCTCCAATCACTACATCACTTGAACACCCAATATCTGTCAGTATCAGTTTATAGCTAGAAAATGGAACTTATGAGCAGTAAAATATGGTTAAATAAGATAGATGTATAATAATGCTTATTTTTTGAACTTGTAAAAGTCCATTGGACAGTGGACTAATAAATTCAGATCTCAAGAGGACAAAGCATTTCTGTCAGAACTAGGATTTCCTTTTCTATGAGTTCAATTTTAACTTGGTTGTTACATCAGCAAATTTGGGCTCAAGAGTTTTGTACAAGTGAAGAGATCAGTCTGAATTCTGTTTCCCCAGCCCTTACTTGGAGAGTTGAAATAGTGGAGATGAGAATCACTGAGGGGTTGACTTCTTTCTGCTGTTTACTCAATGAAGTGATGTGCATACCTTTCCTTGAATCAAATAATATGAGAACTTGAGAGTCAATTAACTTGAAATTCAATTTAAACGAATTCTGTTTTGTTGCAATACATGCCTGTCAGTAACATTCAATAATATTTTGTAGATGTTGAAGAATTTGAGTTCAAGGTAAGTATTTTTTACAGATACAACTGAAATATTAAACTGAATCAGTAAGCAGGAAAACATAAATCAATGAAGTAAATAACTTTGCGTTTTCCTTCCCCTCCTGTGTGCTGTTTCATGCCTTACCTACATATTTACAGTTGTTTCATAAAATATGTTCTCCTGGAAACTAAAGTAGTATGCTCAAGGCCTTGATGAGGATTAGCATGTTTAGTGATGAGATTCAAATGAAGTATCAGAATCCAGGTTTTTTTTTGTGTCAAAGCAGCCGGATATCTTTGCTCAAGCCTGTTCATTGATTCCATGCCACACTTCTAAAAGTTACTGAGGTACAGAGGGACAAGGATGGGAAAAGCAGAAACCAGTGTAGTACCCAAGAAATGCTTAGGATTTGCTAACATGTGTGCATTAGGGGAGGGCAGAAGTCATCTCAGTGTTGTGATCTGCAATTTTCTTAATGTTTAAAAAAAAATAAATTATTTGTTTGCTGTTGGAGTGGTGCTGGTGTTCCCCACAGCTGCTTGGTGGTTTGTAGCTCTGTGTCTGCCTCAGTGACATGCTTCTTGTGGGTCCCTTTCACAAGAAATCACAAAGTTAAACTGGCTGAGTCTACTCTGTGTAAGGCAGAGACAAATTTATAAAAGCATATAATAGGAAGGAAATCAACCTCCCAGTGTGAATAGTGCCATAATAAATCTATTTCATACCAGCTCATACCATACTCATGCATGAGTTTTGAATTTCTCTGGATGTTTGGAGCTGCAAAGCCCAGTGAGGAAAAACATGACTCACCTATGCAATGTTATTTTGTTTTACAGGAAAAGGCTCAGTGCTTTCAGAAGGCTCTTGCTTCCCAAGCAGATAAATCCACACAGACAGAACTCGTAGGACATGATGTAAGTAGCTGTATCAAACAGTATTTTTTATCATCTTTGTGGGTGTTCAGACTTCTGTCAGCTGGTTTGCCTCTGCTGTTGTTGTGTCCGTGCATGGATTTGGCGATTCTAAAGTACCCTCAGAAACATGAGAAGATAATTACAGCTACCTGCCAGCACACCAATGCCCTGTTAATTTTAGGCTTTATGAAGAGCTGAGAATTTGCATAAATGAATGTGAATGGTATGTATTAGTGTTTTGTAAGTTGGTTTTTTTTTTCAGTATTTATTTGCACACTTACTGACAGTTAATGAGGTCATTATGTTTAGAATTGTCATGTGCTGTCCAAACAGGATTTGAAATTTGAAAGATAATGGAATAAGTACAGTTTTGCCAAGTGATGCTGAAATTCTGTTCCCTAAAGAGCATCTGCCAGAATTTCTCCTAGAATTTGTATTGATTGTATGTATCCTCATGCAGTAATACAGTCAAGGAAGATTCCTTAACTGTAGAAATACTATTTCCCCACTTCTTCTAACTGCAGGTATTCTGTCTGTGGAATGTTGCTTGAATGTATGTAAGAATTCTTGTGCCTACATGAGCCTCTTGAATAATCTTTGTGGAACATTTAGCACAGTTCCATTCTGTGACCTGTGCAAAGTCTAACAATAATTCCTAAAAACTGTTCTGCAAAGTAGTGCTATGGTTGTGCGTTGGTATAGATCAACATGCTGTTTTAAATTTATGGAAAGAACTCTGGAATTAAAGCAGGCTTTGAAGCCTTCCTTTTAGTTTTGTGTCTGGAGCCTTAAAATTTTGTCTTCTGAGGATAGAAACATCAAAATTTCACATTCTAGTATGAACAGTTTTATCTGCACTTACTACTTTTTTGTGGGTTACCAAACATGAACCCTTATGTTCTACTGTGTCTGTAAAGGCATGTCTGGTGGAATTTACTGGAATTCTGAGGTGTGTGTATATATTACCGATGAAAAATCCATAATATTCAAAAATACTAAATCATTTTCCTATGTTGCAATCTCTATCCATGTCTTCTGTGACAATTATCCTTCACAATACTTTCTTATACATTAGATGTTAAATAAAATTCTTCCACTGAAAATGGCAACAGGAAATATGTAAAATTTGGGGGATTTTTTATGTTGCTTAATTTATTTTGGGGTTATGTTGTTTGCTTGAGGTTTTTTTAAGCAGATGTGACTTATGCATTAGGTTGTTTTCTCCCAAATCAAATATGTAGTATTCATGCTGCAGGAGTTCATACTGTCAGTAGATTACATATTTTTTCCTTTTTCCAGTGTGTGTTCCCTTGGAGTTTGGTGGGGAGTAAAAAATAGCATTAGAACCTCCTCCCCCAGACAGGTACAGTTTTCTGGCTGAGATTTGACTGTTACATGTCATAATAACAACAATAAGTTAAATAAATCCTTTTCTTTAGCAGCATTCTCTTCAATTAGTGGAACTAATACTTTGGAGACTTCCTTGGTAAAGTGCCCCCACCTTGTCACGGTTGCAATAATGTATTATCTCATACAGGCTTTTGTAATGCAAGAACAGAAGGAAATGTTGGATGCTTTTTCTATGGAAGAACACTTCACCTGTATTTATGTGGTACAGAGTTCTTGTGAAAATTCCATTGCAAGGGATTGATTGCAGAGAAATTTGAAGGAGTTTACAGAAATAACACAAGCCTGCTGTGATCACAATGAGGGGAACCCAGCAAGGAGGAATGTGCAAATAAATAGTATTAACACTTGTAATGTTGTTTAAACTTTTTTCTCTTTTATTTATCAGATTGTGTAGCTTTTCTGTGAAGGATAACTATTAATGATTGGTTGAGCTGTGTTTCTGTTGAATCCAAGTGGCAATTACATTTACATTCTTTGCTTTTGCGTGAGATTTTAAAGAGCAAGTTACAACTGTGGCTAGTATCTGTACATCATTTTATTCAGGATGTCAGTAAGTGCATACAACTACAAGAATGTTGTGCTAATATGAAATTCGATTAGATAGAATAATAGAAAACAGATCAGACAATACAAGATGTATTTTTCACCCCATTAGTCATATTCTGAGAATAGTATACATTGAATACTATAGATCTGGTTTAAGAGATAAGCAAAAAATTTAACTTCATTTCATCATTACAAACTTGCTGCTTTCATTTAAAACAAACAACAACAAACAAAACCCCTCACATTTTTATTTTTCCTTAATTCAAATTTAGAAGCTACTAATAGTTGGATAAAAGTGCTACCAGGAATTTGCATAGCATTATTTCATAAATGTAATACAAATATTGATATACACTATACAGTGTAATAATTCAGAAATGCTTAAAACGGTGCCTCTATGATTAGTTTGGTTTATATTCTCATATATTCTTGTGTTCCATTGTGCAATCTTAAGTTACCTGTTTTGCAGTTGAAAAAACTTGAAAAAAGGTTAGTCCCCAAAATAAAGCACTGCTTGGCTTTATTTTTTTGTTTCTGGACATCTCCAATATTTGAGACAGTTCTTTAGCCTTGGAGTTCATTTTGATGTGTCATTAAAAGTAAATGGAAGTTCTGGCTTTGACTTAGATGAGGAATTAAGCCTTTTGTCCGTAGGGTGTACAGTAATGAAAAAAAGCTGGAGGCGAGTCTATATTTAGGAAAGAATGGGTGAAGAAGGAGGAAATGCAGTGTTTCACAGAGAGGAAATGTTCCTGTTCTTGTGGACTGCTCTGAAAAAGCATAAACAGTATTGAATGAGCATTTTGGTAAGCGTGTAAGCAGTTACCGGAATGGGAGTTTTTACAGCCTATTTTAGGCTAGTGGCTATAATGTAATTACAGTCAGATTCTGACTGTCAAGGTGATCAGTAAAATTTGGATGATGCAATCTCCTGCAATACCTTTGAATTGTTAGATAATACTTCTGATAAGCTCTGGGTTTTTTTCCCCATACAGCACAGAGATTTTTCAGCAGAAATTGCTTTAGAGTACTGTTTCAGTAAGCATGTAGAAGATAAAGTCTGTAGCAATAAAGATAATGTTTCTCATAAAGAACTGCTTGAACTGGATAGCAAACTGCTTAATGTCTTTTCTGTATTAAAATGGTCTAATGCAAAACTTAATTATGGAATTAAAACATAAAGTTTAAAATAATTTTGGATAAGGAAAAAAGAGGGTCTTCCATGATGAGAAATGCTTCAGTGTCCTTAAGTGATTAACTTGATGACTTTGCTACTTGAGGAAATTGAAAGTAAAATATCGACACAACTACTGTATTCCAGAGAAGACATTGGAAGGGACTCATGGTTTCCATAAAGGCTAGTTGCTTTCTAGTGCATCATGTGAGAGATTCTTCGTCTTATGATTGACCTGAATTTATTCTGGTTTTCAGTATGTGTACTGGGAATCATTTAGAACATGTTGGGAGTCTTGCAGAAAGAGCCATGTGCACAACAAATTGATGTCAAGGCTGCTAAATAATAGATTATTAATATGTCTTCAACGATCAATGCCAGTTTTAACCTCTTTCACCTTCCTGTGCTTTCAAAGTCTTCCTTTATTGAGAGATCAAGGAATAATTTCTTTCATGTCAATCAGGTTGCTAAGGTGGACCGGAAGAGGAACAGATGCAATCAGCTGGCACTGGGACTGATTACAAGATTTTGTTAATGGGTACAAATCTGATAATGGCTGCCAGCTAAATAGGTAGTCCAAAGTATCATGCAGGCATCACACAAGCACTCTGCAGCATCTGCCACTGCTGGTTAGTTTTCATTAAAATGTGTCTCAAAACAGAATTAAGCAATCACAGGACAATTCTTATTTCTGTCAGCAAGGGAAGTACAACTCAGCACCACTTTGTCAATCTTTATCAGCCTTTGGATTGAAAGAGTTTGTACGTAATTTTATTCTCCACAAAATGGAACTTCCTAAGACCTGATGTGATTTCTCCAATGTCTTTTCTATGTTTGCCTTCTGCTGGTGTTACAGATTTCATATCTGAGAACTGCTATCCTGTTTGCTCTTTGTCCTTCATACTGGGAGTAAAGCTGATGTAAACAAGTTTTGGACTGGTCCTAAATTCATTCCCCATTTAATGAACATCCTTTCCAGTGTAGTGGTCCTTACATTTTGTATGATGCTTCTGATATCTCAGACAACAAACTTGTGTACTGCTGCTGTCAGTCTGCTGCAGTTTGGTTTGCACAGCTACAGACAAAACTTACCTTTCTTTGGTGATCACCAGCACTGTGTTTACAGTGGTGCTGTGAGACAGATAAGAAGGCACTGACTTTTATCACCTGTACAATCATGCAATATTAAAATCCATACTGATACATATTTTACGGTATTTGTTTTGTAGCTCGCTCTGCATTACCTTGGACAGCATGCCTCCCTTAACCTCTCAAAACCTGGGTGCTGCCTCCTGCAGAGCCTCTGTGTTTGATTAGGAGGAAGTGGAAGACAGGGAGGTGGGTACTCTAACTGTTCTCCTCCACCTCCCTGCTGTGCTCCTGCTCCTCCCCAGCAGCCAGCCAGCACAGATTGTGGATACTGTCTTTGCAGGGAACAGAATACTGAAGTACTTGAACTTATTGAACTTTCCAGTCTAAACATGTTCCTGTCCAAAGTGTTTGTGTGGTTGGCTACAGCATGAAGTGTGTTGTGTTTTGCTGCCTAAACTGGAAAATACATCCTACTTCTGCCTTTGCTCCTTCCCTTGGAGGCTGATGGACGTCCGCTGTTGTATTTTACTACTAGGTTATTTTTCTCCATTTATTTATTTCCTTTCTGAGTTTGTTGTCTCATGTATACAGGGAAATAATAAAAACTTGTGCATAATATACCCTTTGCTCATGAAAAATTACTTTTTTTTCAAAAATACCTTTAGAAATCAAACCAGCCATTAACCATTTCAGTATTTGCTTTGATTGTATGTCTGTGTACTTATTCATATCTGGATGTCCCAGTTGTTCTTAATATGCTACATCCACTCCTACAATT